CCCAGCCTCCCCCTTGTCCCCCATGTCCTTGAGAACCAGGTTTTCCATACTACTCAGGTTTTGTATGAGCGCTCACTTCTGCTCGCATATCAGTTTTTATAATTCCAAATTCAACTCTGCTGTCAGATTTTCACCGCTGCGGTTGGCTTCTTTTCCTCAGTCAGATTGTGCAATAAGCACCGTGTTGGTATTTAATCAACACCTAAGCCACCAGGAATTTATCCCCCCCCCCCCACACACACACACACACACACACACACACAAGCGCCCGTCTTAATGTTTCCCGACTGTCATTTTTACCTCTTGCCCAGTTTCCCTTTATAACTTTATTTCCAGCCCTGGCTGTTTACTTCTCATCCGCGTTTTATAATAAGAAGGAGAAGGAAATCAACAGACGCTTCAAGAACACTCTGACATTCCAGGTCGCGCATACTCAAGCTGGATTTTCAAGTCGCTTCAATCTCCGCAGCCTCTTTGGGTTGGCTGAGTGCTGCAACTAATTTGCATGAAACGATTTGGGGTTTTAGCCAGCGGAAACTATGAAAAGAGGCTCGCCGCTAAAAATGAGCTACGGGTGGTTACACGCTTTTTGAAATTTGTATGTTCCTCTCGTATTTTTGAGATGTAAAAATTTCATTTCACATAATGTCCCCCCTCCCCCCAAAAAAAAAAAATTGTAAACACACCTTTCTCTCTGACGGAGATGTCAAACTGCCGCAGTATAGCACAGGGCTTACTCGATGTCAGATTTATTTACTTTTTTGCTTGAAGTATCGGTGCCCGGTATCGGTACTCACACTTCCTCATACACTACACTGGCGGTTTTCCCATAACCTTTGCAACGCAAGCATCTTATTACCACCGCAGTGCGGGAAGTGTACACGCGATTTGACACGTTTTGTGTATGTCGACATCCTACCACATCCAGCTTCATGGACCTTAGCAAATGTCAAAACACAAGTCGGTGTTTGTGCCTCGAAAGGCTTTCTACTGCCTCCCTTTACACCGGCCAATCAGAGGGCGGGAACCCAGGTGCATGTTTACAAGTCTTAATTCTAGCGTGACCGTGCGGCGGACCCCCTCCGCCGCTGCTCTGCGACCGATTCGGCCCTGGCAGCCAGTCAAGAGAAGGAATTCCCGCCGTGGCGTGCCAGTCCGCGTCTTGAGCTGAAAGCATTAATCACTCTCGGAAAGACTTAGAGTTGAAAGATATTGACGTGCAATGGGACAGTACTTAATTTGAGAGGGAAGAGTCAAGCCACCGCCGACAAAAACAAAAACAACAGCAGCTTTAGCTGAGACCTTTAATCGACTCAAGTCCTGGAACTTTTCTGACACACTTTGTGTGAACTGTAAACTGCCGTGTGGGAAGATTCAAATCGAATCCTGATCCCCGTCTGAATTGAATACTTCTTCCCACCATCCCCACGACCCGCCGCCGATTTTCTTAGAAATCAAACTCCGTAACATTTCCGTAACCCGGAAAAGTAGCCTCCTTCGTGGAACTAATAAGGGACTTAAAAGTAGATTTTAGCGGTGGCCGTGGTTGGCCGGTTGGGCCCCCCGGGCCGAAACAATGGTCCCCCTTGTCGAGCTGCAAACTAAAAGCTGTTTTACGTCCGCGGGTCTGCGGTGACGTCGTGAAGGGCGTGCTCGTCGCCGTCTATCAATGGCTAGCATTTAGCGCTCACGCCGGGTGTGGGAGAAAGAGACGTGTATCGCCACACCGCCTGGGAACGCGGTGGGCAGTCATTTTTGTTTCCGTGGGGTTCTACAGCTACAAAAAGGCTGCATTGATTAGTTTCCGGTGTGAGGCGGCTTCTGATTGGTTGATTGAAATCGCACTTCCTGTGGGAACTGTAGTCACACACACACGCACACACACACCACTCAGTGTAGAAGTCACTTTCGCATAACTCAAGCCTGAGTGGATTAGATGGAGCTTTTAACAGACGTTAACAGCGTGTGCGTGCGTCTCTCTCATCTCGGCTTAGTTTTTTTTGCTTTTTTATTGTTGTTGTTCAGTACTTACGAGATCAAATGTGCTGCTACTTTGCTCTTTCGGGGTTCAGCTGAAAGGCACACACTGTTGTTGGCAGTCTGCGGTTGTATTTTAAATTCAGCCAAGGAATTTATCGTGTGTGAAATGGATTGGGTTGAACGGGTCCCGCATTTCATCATTTTTATGGCCTGCGACGTCGCCATTTTGTCTGCAATCAGGTTGAACGCCCCGAACCACTTGGGGGCAGTCTATTTCCTGAAATGAGAATGAGTGCTATCACAACAACATGTTATTGATTTTTAAAAAAAACATTTTGTTTCTTTTTTTTTTTTTTTTTTTTGTTTCTTGGCCTGTTGCAGGTGAGCCAAGGCAATGTCCCCGGCGTGGAAAGCGCCTCCCTGGCCATGGACACGGAGGAAGGGGTGGAGGTGGTGTGGAATGAGGTGCTTTTCTCCGACAAGAAGGTCTTCAAAGCTCAGGAGGTACGCAGACTTGGAATCATATTTTATGTTACGACTTTATTTATTTATTTATTTATATTTTTTGGACTAAAACTCATTTTTCTGTAAATATTGCAACATTTTTAAATATTATTATTATTAATTTTTTTTTTACATTTTTGTCGGCGTGGTATAGGAGAAGATCAAGGAGATGTTTGAGAACCTGATGCAGGTGGAGCATCCCAATATTGTCAAGTTCCACAAGTACTGGCTTGATATGAAAGAAAGTCAGGCTCGGGTATGTTTTAACCCCTTTTTCTGTGCATGTTAATTTCTTTTTTTTTTTTTTTTTTAAAGTTGCTCATGTGCGTATTTTGCATATTGCAGGTTATCTTCATCACGGAATACATGTCGTCAGGCAGCCTCAAGCAATTTCTCAAGAAAACCAAGAAGAACCACAAGACCATGAATGTGAAAGTTGGTATTTCTCGGTCCCGGTTTTGACTTCAATTCATATTTTCAAATGGGATTAGTGGTTATGTAACGTGACAGCCCAGTGTTGAATGAAGCACCTGCTTTTTAGTCCCCCGCGCAACGTCCGCCGGACTAAAACTGACTTATCAATGTTGTGTATTGGTGGAAAAATTCCAACCTATGTTTTCGTGTTCTATGTTTCAGGCCTGGAAAAGGTGGTGCACACAGATCCTCTCCGCCCTCAGGTACTGGATGATTATATTTCTTTTTTTAAATTATTATTATTATTTTTTTTTTTTAATGGCCGTGCTGCAGCATTTGAGTGGGCTCCAATTTTTTTTTCCCGTCCCCCTGCAGTTATCTGCACTCGTGCGATCCACCAATCATCCACGGCAACCTGACGTGTGACACCATCTTCATCCAGCACAACGGACTCATCAAGATCGGCTCAGGTCTGATCCCCGCAGGACTCTCCTTGCTGGTACAGAAAGATCCGGTACGGTCATTTCATGCTCTTTTGTGATCTTCTTTCCGCAGTGTGGCATCGGCTCTTTGTTAACGGTAAGAAACAGAGTCCCTTTAAGTTGGTTTGTATTCCTCTCTAAGGTCATATTCAACATGATCTTGTTTATCTCCCCTTGCCAGTGTTCCCGGATGCCAACGTCCAGGGAAAGGGGAGGCAACATCGTGACGAGCAGCGCAATCTTCATTTTTTTGCACCTGAATATGGAAGTAAGTCAAACGCAGCGGGCAAATTTTGTTTGAGTGAAATTGATTAAAATGCGACTTTCTTTCGGCCTGTTCCCAACTGGTACTTTGCAACCAGTAGCTGGTCAATGCGCCCCACATAAAGCATGACTTATTTGCTCAAGATGATCTTTCAATCAATTCAAAAAGTCAATAAATGTACACATTTTTCAATTTTAAATAATTGGAGAGTGGTCAAATAAATAATATCGTAATTCTTTGATTGTATATAAAGAATAAAAATTATATATAAATGTGTGTGTGTGTGTGTGTGTGTGTGTGTGTGTGTGTGTGTGTGTGTGTGAAAAAAATACTGTATTAAATAAGTATATTGAAATAAAATATATTAGATATGAACACATTGCATGTGCATATACATTCGAAAAGATACATTTTATAATTCGGGAAAAATGTAAGATATAATAATAGAATGCAACTTAGGATGTGTATTAAACGCATAAATCATAATGTATTAGGAGAAAATCCTATTGTCTGTATCCTAAACATGAATATAATCATAAATAAATGGAAAAACTGTGCAAGTTGACTAAACTATTAGAATGTCCTCTAAATCTTAGATATGAACTATATGTCAGTCTAAATAAATAAATAAGAAATCTATGACTGTATAGATGTGTGAAAATATCTATATTCGATCACATATTGAAATAACATCTGTATTTTCGATATAGTTACATTGTGTACATATATAAATCTAATCAGTACAAATATTGATTCAATAAATGCATAAAACATGAATGCAAGAATGAAACCTGACTTGTAAATCGAAATATATTACCAATGAATTGAAAATAAAACAAGTGGACTGCACGGACTTGAGGGGGGTGGGCGGTGGGGGGTGAACTGCATCTGATTTCCCTTCATGTTTCCTGGATGTCTCCACCCAACCCCTTCTCACCCTTTCTTTGCCTCGTCTTTCCTCGCCAGCCGGCGAAGATGACTACGCCATAGACATTTTCTCCTTCGGTATCTGCGCTCTGGAGGTGAGAAACCAATGAGTGTGTGTGTGCGCGCGCGAGAGAGTGTATGTCGGCCATTGTTGACAGATGATTTGTTAACCTCTAGATGGCAGTGTTGGAGATCCAGGCCAACGGAGACGCTGCCGTCTCCAAGGAGGCCATCGTCAACGCCGGCCAATCCCTGGAAGACCCTCTCATGAGAGTATGAGCGACATTATTTACACTTACACCTCCTTGGTTACGTTTATAAAACCAAAAAAAAAAAAAAAAAGTTTCATCAGCTGATATAAATGGGGAATTGTCATGTCATGCAATCGAAACGGATGGCCGTCCCCCGCAGGAGTTCACGCAGTCGTGTTTGCGCCCCGACGCCAAGCTCCGTCCGACCGCCCACGACCTCCTCTTCCACCGCGTCCTGTTCGAGGTGCACTCGCTCAAATTGCTGGCCGCCCACTGCCTCATCAACAATCAGTGTGAGTCTCCCTTACAGCGTCTTGTCAAGAAAACGGGACAATGAAATGGAAACTTCCCCTTTTGTAATTGTTCGCAAACCAACTCAATCTTTTGTTCTATCCCTTTCTCTGGAATTAGCTTTGAGCTAGCCGTTTTGCTAGATTGAGACATAACACTGGGCTGATTTTACACGAGCCCGCACCGAGTTTCTCCACCAATGACTTAGTGGCTCGGCTGAGCTAAGAACTGCCATTTTCAAGCGATGATTGAAGTCCATATCGAAACTCCAGTCCAAGCCGAGCTAGCGTTTGCGCACATTGTTAGCATCTGATCAAAGGAAAGCGCTCTAAATTTTCAGCAAAGTTGTCGATTATGGGGCATCGGGTGTTTGCGTTTGGCGATGTGTCTGCTGCATGTGCCACATGGATGGATCTGGTACACTGGTGGTTTTCAGACACTCGGGAAGTCAGACCGACGTACCACCTTGACTAGCATTAAAAATGTTATTCTTGTTCTTTGGTAGATTTTTGAAGAAAGTATCTCACAACCTTTTTTTAACCCTTTCATGCACCCTGTAACCTGATAACACGAGAAGCTGTCCACTGTTGTAACCGCTGTCCCTGAAAGGGTTCAACTAAAATATTTATGTCATAATATTCGAACATTTGACTCTGTAGACTTGCTGCCCGAGAACTGCGTGGAAGAGAGGACCAAGTCCTTCGACCCTAACGCTGTCATGGCAGAGATCAAGCATGAAGACAGGCTGGGAGTTCAGCAATAATAATAATAATAATAATAATCATAATAATAAAAAATTGGTAACTCCTAAATATCTCATGCTTAACCAATGCTGGCTTTTTATGTCCCGACAGGTACTCCCATGTGTCCCCTTTAGAGCTGGACAAGTTTCTGGAGGACGTCAAGTAAGTAGAACGCCGTTAACGCAACTAGCTGGATTTAGCTGCGATGCTAAGCGTCTTGTCCACCAGGAACGGGATTTACCCCTTGATGAACTTTGCCTCGTCCCGGCCGCATCCCGTCCCTCGCGCCCTCTCCTTGTCGCAGGAGCAGGTGGAGATAGTCAAAACGCCCACGCCGGAACCCCAAGAGATGGAGAGCAGGAAGGTTAGCACCTCACATATCACAAGTGGCATTTTATAGCTTGAAAAATAGGATTTACATAGGTTACATTTTGGAAAGATGAAGTATATTCTGGCCAAGGTCCAAAGAAAAATTTCTCATCACTTGCCAGTCACACACACCGACTTGCTACATTTTTCAAAGCCACGATGAATAAACAATTTGACTGGCTGGCTAGCACAACTCAAACCCCCAAGGATGTGCAAGTTCCAAAAAATAAGGGTGTTTTTTCCCCCTCTTTGAGCCTAGTGGCATCGTAAATTGAATTGTCTTGTACGTTTCATATAATACATCGTGTGCGTTAACAGGTCATTCAGATGCACTGCAACTTGGAGTCGAATGAGGAAGGGACCAAAACTCATGTGAGTCACGTAGTACCGGTACATCAGGTACATTCCTGTAAGGCTCTACTTATCGGGCTCCCATCTTACGTCCATTCTATTTTGTATTCATTTTGTTTTTTTTAAATATGGACTCTTTCTTTTTCTCTCTACTCCAGCTTTCTTTATTTCTCAAGATGGACGATAAACTTCACCGGCAGCTTAGCTGCGACATCCTTCCGAGTAGGTTGACCACTCTGCGTGGCTTTCGGGAGAAATCTGCTTTCTCATTGGCTGGCGGTGTTTTAATGATGTCATGTGCACCTTTCAGCCGACACATCCAAAGACCTTGCCGGCGAACTAGTTCACTACGCCTTCATAAATGAGGTACACTACGTTTATTTTTAAGGACTGGACATTGACCACAACATCCTGCTTTTTTTTTTTTTTCATTATGAATATGACTTAAAAAAATTGTATTTTAAAAAAAAAAAGGACGGACATAAAGATATACCGTACATACGGTCACAACTCAGTAAGCTGCAGTAATGTGCATCGTTCTTTGCAGATGATAAAGAATACATGCATATTCATCTACTACAGCTCTATGTGTTTTCAAAAATCGCTTGCTTCCAAAACCGCCAGTTTCTCTGTATATATATATATATATGTTTGTTTTTTGTTTTTTTACACAAGCAACAAAAAGAAAAATGCTTCAAAACAAATGATTGTTGAAGTATGATCTTGTTTCTTTTGTCTCGAAGGAGGACATCGAAAAGGTGGCCGCGTTCCTGGAGGACGCCATCAAGCGACACCGGGTACGAGCGCTGCCTTCCGGCACGCAGTGAGGGAAAGGGGGGAAGTCGCGGCAGCCCGTGGGTGGATGGCCGGCGGGACCAAGGGGCCTTTGTGGGGGGGGGGCTTTTATGGCGTCCTACAGATGGAGCAGGAGCCTGTTTGCAGTCAAAGCAACACTGAGGGATGTTAAGAAAACGACAGCAAGCTAAAGGAAGAAGTCACAGCGGTCGAGGGGGGGGAAAAAAAAGGGACCAGGTGGACCAGGCGTCATGGTTGTGTTCTGATCAACTCCCCCCTAAGGGCACGTTTGCCTTAACACATGTTTGTTCCATAACAGATGCCGTTATTGCCCACATCCAGCCATCTTGTCCGACGAATGTTTTACTGGTCGCCATTTTTGCACTTCAGCGTCCATCATGACCGGCCATTATTCCCTTTTTTTTTTTTTTTTTTTTTTTTTAAATTAAGTACCCCTACCATTTGC